GGGCTTATAAATAATTTTTACGGAACAGATCGCAGAATTTATGTGATGATTGCGTCGCTTGCAGATTACGTGAAATGTTCCTTAATTTTTCTTGAATATTTCTCTCCGTGTGGTGAAACGAGGGCTCCACTGCGATTGATGTCGTAATTCGTAATAAAAAATGGCATAATTACTTGTTAGTAAACCCATAAAGGTCCGGAAGCAGGACTCTCCAACAGCAGCGAATCTGTGGCTAAACCTCGGCCTCACTGATGAACACATGATCTCAAGAGGTACGAAAAACTGCAAAGCGTAGGTGAAGAGAATCGCCAGCGCGATGAGAATCTTCACTACTTGAGCCATTCTAAAAATCAAAAAAAAAAATTCAATCTAGTTTATCTGTAAAACAAATGGAGTATTATTTTTCCCTATAGTATCGTTTCGTTCTTAATTAATTAGCAATAGACTTGCCAATGGATTTAATTTGTTGGAGGAATGTAAATAATTGATGCTATGGCAGTCAAACAAGAGACTATCTTGATCATTTTTTACATTATCATTCTCAATAATACCGGCATGGTCTTAGAATAATTAGCTCCACTTTTTGATTTTACAACGAAATTTTCCTAACGTTTTTCCCTAAGAAAACTCTGCACGCAATATATGGGTCATGTTACGTCCAAATTTTCTTTAATCAACAACTAATTTATTTAATTGTTAGAACGGTTACAATGGTCATTATTACATGACAAATTGGGAGATTTTGATTTACCCAATATATCATCCGGATACTATTTTTCCCTAATGATTTTCAAGTTCCCGAGTTTGGGGAGTATGTAGCACCGATTCTCATACGAGAAATAGTCGGAAGCAGTACGAAAACAGTATTTTTCACACCCAGGACGGAAAAAGTGAATCTGACGAATGCAGCTTTCTAGCCCGAGCCGAAGGGGAGGATAATAACGCGCATGAGTCAGAATCACTTTTTTCGCCGTGGCTATGATGCTATTTTATGTCATTGTGGTGGAAAACGCATTTTACCGGCCGCGATGACATAAAAATATTTGTGGCCATCGATAAGTAGATTCTTTCGAGGCGCCTCTAATTTCCGAGATATCGGCGCTTTTCTGATTTGGACTACTACAAATGAAATTACAACTCCTCTCGCGTAGAACTAGACCTGTTAAACCGTTATCTTAACCTGAAGATAATCATTTCGATTAAAAAAAGATAAAAGTGCCCTTGTTGAGGAACGATGCGAATTTCATAGGGAGTTCCTCCTAAAAAGTAAAATTATAAAGTTCTATTTTGTCTCAAAACTATCATGATTTTACAAGGAATCCACCCATGTAGCTAACTCTACATCCTG